TGAATGCTCTGATGCGGGGGAGGGGCCGACGGCATTACCCACAGTCGTTGAGGAGAGTACGAACAATACAGTATGGACATATGAGAGTCGTAGATTTGTAGCTAGTCACTTTTTTGAAAATGTGTCGCTAAGGGGGTCTGAAAAGTTGCTAAATATAAGGATAAAGTCGCTAAGTTGGCAACACTGGGCCCTATCATACAACAGACGCAAGATGTTCTTCTATGAAGTGATGCTATTTTCAGACCTTAATTTTCCCGTTTTCCACCACGTTGTTTAAATAGCAAATCCATTTGCACCGCTTTGTGGACTCATGGGTGTTTCGCTCAAGAAAAGTGGTGTGTTAAGGCGTATTGCTGTGCTATTTTGAGGAGCCAACATAGACTGTGCAAACTCCAGCGCAGATTGCTTTAGTTGTGCTCCTCGCTTACACATTGCTTAATACACACAGGATGTACAGCAATACGCAAATATCTTTACAAATGAAAAATAATAAAAGGGTTTGTATATTACAAAAATTATTATTTTCTTCTTTTTTTAGTTTATTCATGAATATTTGCTTTTTTTGTAAAGTTGTTATTATTATCATTATTTATTATATGCATATTCATATTTGTTTTATTAAAAACAAGCTTAGATTTGTCCACCTGTCAGGTTTAAGACCCTGTGGGTCACAGCTCAAGAATAGGATGTGTGTTTGGATATAACTCAGTTTTTTGAACACACTTGGTTAATATTGTTCATTTATTTGTTTGCTGTAAATTACAACTGAATTTAGAAATAGTTTTGAAGCAAATCTTTGCGCTTAATAAACTAAATTAATTATGTAGGCTAATGAATGTCTGTGCAGGGCGTACAACACGTTTCCTTATCCACGAAAGACAGAAAGTGGAAGTAAAGAATGAGGAGGCTCATCTCTCATTGTCTCACTGTAGATGCTCTATTTACCTGTTTTCTCTCTAGTAAAGCGTTCAGTTTTTCCACTTACAAAGTCTGTCATGTAAATAGCAAATGCGATGAGACTCTGATTGGTTTATTCTCAAAACACACCTTTAACTCATTAAGAGAATAAGCTCAACTCTGTTAAACCAGGGGTTTTCAAAGTGTGAGGCGCGCCTCCCCTGGGGGGCGCTAGAGGATGTCAGGGGAGGCGTGGGAAAAAAATGTATATAATAAAAATACAATTATTAAGTTTAATTATTATATGTATGTTTTTATTATTTTTAAACGCTTTAATCAAACAAAGCTAAAAAAAATAATACGTCAAAAATAAGAAAACCTTTTTTACCCAGAAGGCCATAGCTGTGAATTCGCTTCTGTTTGGCAAGCCCGCCAATACAGGTACAGGCCTGCTAATCATGCTGCTAATACAATGGATCGGTTTCTGAGACCCCCCGATTCAAAGCCTTCAAGTTCAGGGCTTAAACCCAAAAGACGACGATATGATGGTCAGTATTTGAGTTTAGGATTTACGTGGACAGGACCAGCTGATGAACCACGACCTTTGTGTGTGGTTTGTCAAGATATTTTGGCTAATGACAGCATCAGACCCGCTAAACTTTGGCGACACCTTGAAACCAAGCATGATGAGGTAGCAGGAAAACCTCCAGAATTTTTTGTGTGTGTGTGTGTGTGTGTGCGTGTGTGTTTGGGAGGAGGGGGCGCCAATGGATAAGTTGTGTCAAAAGGGAGGCCCACTGTCTTTGAAAAACCCTGTGTTAGACCATGCGCCACAGCACAGAGCAAATTTTTCCGTCATAAAAATGGCAAAAGTTGAATCTTACACACTCTTGATGCTTTTGCACCCTGCACTTTGGACTTTGCGCTTAGATTGTTAAAATAGAGCCCTGTGTGTGTGTGTCACAGGGCAGTGGTTCCCAAACTGGGGTGCGCAGTCTGACCACCAGGGGTGTGTGAGATTTGTAATGGTGGAAAATGTTATCTTTTGTTATCTTTTTATTTAACTGAAATTAATTTAAAAAAATGAATAATAGAGTTATGACACTAATGAGAGTGACTGATGTGAGTTTAATGAATGGAACCCTTCCCTTACAGAATGAATTTTGAATTGAATGAATCTTCAATGAAAAGGTGCTAAAATCTGCTCGAAAAGTCACTAAATGTCGCTGGATTACGTCATTCGTCGATATGCATATTACTGACGTCATCACGTCCAGCAGCTTCTTCGCTTTATCTATCTAATAAATAAATAGATTGACTTTACCGATGAGATTAAGTTAATTGTTTAATGTGTGGTTAGGTTTAAAACAGCAAAAACAGTGTTATGTGTTCCATAAAGCCACTTTCGCTCATACAGAAAGGTGTGTATGTGTGAACAGGCCCTTTTTGAAAATACTAGTTAATTAGTTCTGGAAATTTTCCGTAAAGAGAAGTTGTAACAGTACCGGTAATTTGCCAGAGGAAAATTTGCCAGAAAGATCACATTTACGATTAGAACGCGCTGACGTGACTCCAGTCAAGGATTAGAAGGACAAACTGTTTTTTTTTTTTCTTCTTGACATGCAAAGATGAATTGTTCATCACAAAACTAGCAATAGAGCTAACAAAATCATCTGGCTAGTTTTGATTTCTTGGGGACTTTAACATTAATTTGACGTCCCTCTGCATATCTGCCCAATGACACTTAAAAGCATTAAATGGGTTCAAAAACAATTAGGCATTTATCAATTGTGTACAATTAAACCGTACATCAAAATATTACTTTGATTAGCCCTATGTGGGTGTATACATTATCTAATATAATCAAAGTTTCGATTTTGTCTTTATTAAGTTTCATATAAAAACTTAAATAATAGGCTAAATAATAAATTTAATAAAGTAACACTAGTGTTACTTTATTAAATTGATTATTTATTATTTAAGTTTTTATATGAAACTTAATACCTTAGAGACAAAATCGAAACTTCGATTATATTAGATTCTATTTTGCAACGTTGAGGCGTTAATGTTTATTTTTTCAAATAGTTTTTTTTTCGAAGGAATGTAAAGTTTGGCATGTGTAAAAATATACAAAATAAAAATACTCTCGCGCACTCTACTATGAAAATAAGGTGGTGTAAAGTGCGTTTCTAACATAGACTGTAAAAATACGGCTTTTCTAACGGCTTTGTCGTTGGAAATACATTACCCATGATGCTTCACCCTGTCTCCATCCAGTGACGAGTTTGCTCGCAGACGGAAGAGCAGCGCGAGATATAAACAACTCGAGGCTTTAAACAAGGAATATTTGATAGATAACACGGATGCAATGTAAGTTAAATTGATTGAGAATAATCACTGTAGTATACAATGTCACATATGTTCATTTTTTGTGCACGCGGTCAAAAACAACAGTTAAGGCATGTTTCTGCAGAGACTTGCTTTAAAATGTCTTTAATATTTGACTCGTCATCTAAAATCAAACTTACAGTACAGCATCAGTAGCTCATATTTGTTTGGATATGGGTAAAGTTGGTATTAAATTCGCACATTCTAGCTTTTCTTTTATAATATAAATTCATAAAAATATTGTTTCAAATTCTTAATATGGAAATCATATTAACAGCCAGTGACTATCAAATTACAGCGTTGTTTACAGTCATAAATAGTGCCAATGTTGTTTTGAAGTCATACATGCTGATTCAGACCGAATATTCAGAAATAGTGTGGTAAACAATAGAGAGAGCGTGTCACTGTTCAAAAATGAACAACTGTGCGAATATAAAACCAACTTTACCTTGTTAGCATACTGACTTTGTTATTTATTTGCATGAATTACAAGGCTTTCATACAGCTAACGTAGCTAGTAAATAAATAGCGTTAACCTTTACTGTTAAAGTTACTGTTTCTATTTATTTTTATTAATTTAGTTTACTGTTTAATTATGATTACTGTTGTTGTATTATCTCAAATTACACAAATACAAAGCAAATGTAACTTTACACAACATAATACAAGGGCAAATGTAAAACAAATAGAAAATATACGCTATAAATGTAACATTATAAATGAAGGTGATACGGTTTATTGTTGTAAGGTGACTAGGGTAAAACATAAATGCAACACCATACCTCTACAGTTGATTTTACTAGGAAAGTTTGTATTTGTATTAGACCTTTTGTATTAGAAGTTTTCTAAAATTCTGTTTAAAGATGCAAATAATGCGCTATTATTTGTGTCCATATTCACTGATTGAACGAATGAATTTATTTAACGGGGACAATGCACAAAAATTACATTAACCTCAAAGAGGAAAGATGCATTGTGCCAGGTTGTAGCAGGATTGCTATTTTCCACCTGCTCTCCCTGGTTGGACAGGTAAAAAGTGAAACAATAATATCCAATTAGTAAAAAAAAAAATCAGTTTAAAACATTCAGGCATAATCGCATATAAACTAAAACACTGACAACTCAAAAACATCTCACTCAGTGTGTACAAACTTGATTTTACAAAAAACACCTCCTAGACAGGCGTTAAAACATCTTATAATGCGTACATGTGATTGTTTCTGTTGGGAGAGAATTCCATAGATTTGAGGCTTTATAAATCAAAGAGGATTGATTTACATACATATGTGCCATACACATGTGGACATTGTATAGAGTAAAGTAAATATTCACACATTCAGACTTTCTCCTTAATAATATAATTCCTGAAAATTATTCTCTGCAGACTCTAAATAGTGGAATCTTATTAGCAGCTACTGTCCTATCAAAGTACAACATTGTTTACAATCAAATAAATGATGCTAATGTTGTTTTGAAGTCATACTTGCATGTGATTTTAGACCGAATATTTAAAGTACCATGGTAAACCATATTGGGAGCAAGTCACAAGTTGTCACTGAATGAATGTGCGAATATAAAACCAACTTCACATCACAGTTGTGTAAAGTCAGGTTCAAATCCCTTGTTTCATTCGTTGTACAACCAAATTGAGTTTAGCATGTTGTACTTCTTAACCTTATTACTATTTTAAAAGATCCGTGTTTAACATGTTTCAGAATGGGAAAGTAGCAGCTGAAGGAGGGAAAACTCCCTCGTCTGAAGACGGTTTGATCAGTCATGGCTTCTGAACTCCACGAAGCCATTTTTATGGCCAAACAAGAGAAACACAAGAATCTTTTCCTAAACTACAGAAACCTCAATAATTTCCCCGTGGAGCTGCTGAAAGATGAAGGCATGCAGTTCCTTGAGCGTCTCTTTATGAAGAGAAATTCCCTCACCACACTGGTAAGATCCATCTGCATTTATAATTTGGCCCTTTTTTAAAGTAAAGTATATATTTATCATACTAATACTGCTTTCTTATCATCAGCCAGAGAATCTGGCTCAGAAAATTCCCAACCTCATTGAACTGTAAGTATTTATCAGAATTATTTTTGTTTGTTTAAAGTCTTATAATGTTATGTGTCGAATTCTGTTTCAGCTCAGTTTTGCATTCCCACTACACTAACTGCATAGATATATACACTAGATATCGCATACGGACCCTGAGCATGCGTCAATAGCGCCACCACATTTGTACAGTGCTCCCAGTACAAATGTCATTCCACCGCGCTAGTCAAGACTTAAAGGGCCATGAAACCCCCTTGTTTCAGCAGGGTGTTTTCACACCTCTACTTTGGAAAAAGTCAGAAAAGTGGGCGTGTTCAGCTTTGTTTAGGGGGGATATTTGATTCGAGGAACTGCTCTAAGCATGTATTTTTCATGCAATGTTTGATACCGCACGGCGAATGAGAGAAAAAAAAAACCTCCGCATTTCCTGGAAATTTAGATGCACACGGCAGGTAGCGTCAGAAAGCCGCGTGTGTTATTCCGGTCACTAAATGCAGTGAAAACCCTACACGAGGTTAAAGTTTGGTTGTAGTGCTAACATGTTTACACTCGGTGCAATAGTTAACTTGGTTCGAAACAACAAACTGAATAAACAAAGAGTACTGGTCGCTCACTTACCAAATCTGTAGAGACAGGACAATCACCAGGAACTAGAGCCGCGTCTTTATTAAGAGGAGACTAAAGCGAATCCGGATCTCAGTGTTTGCAGATGAGAACAGCTCTCAGGTAAACAATAATCCTCCTCAGACACGTAAGTTATTGTTGTCGAGCGTCGCGTACACTGTTAATTCTCACGTGACTCCAGCTGAGCTCTCACAGAGAGAAAAAGAAAACAAAACTTAACTGCAGCAAACTATAAAAGCAACACTTCACGCTTGTTTTGCCAACACAACGTGGCGTCTCTGTCGTGTAAACACGGTGAAACTAATGAATATTAATGAAGTTGCACAATAGAGCGCGCTGATTGGTTTGAACCAAGCCTTACTCATGCATTAATGCATCACACTGTAAGACGTAATAAGACTCACTCTGGCACAGACGTCCAGTCTGCACGCTGGAATACACGCTATTATGTCATGGCCGTGAGGCAGCTTCAAAAATTCTTTTCAAACCGGAAGTACGAATTTGCTTGAAATAACGCAAAAACAACCAATTTACACTTTTTAGTGAAATATAGGTGTCCTAATAGTGTTTTTAGCAGTGTGGGACACATATACGACTGTCAACAGCTCAAAAAATGTGTTTTGGTGTTTCGTGACCCTTTAAGCCAATGTGAAGATTCTGGACTTTAGCACTGTGTACGGTTGTAGAAACAAGCAAACAAAGAAATCAAAGCACAGAGACATAACATTTCATAGGTAAGATTTGGTTTCTTGTGATTTTGTATACTACAAACATTTGTGCTCAACAAGTCTTGTTATTGATGATAATACAGACTTACTGCATTGACCATAAGGCAAATCAGCACAAACTACACTAAACACTCGGCTTATGCTAGTTTTGTTGAATAAAATAAGCAAACAATGTAAGTGAACGAGTCATTCATAATGAAGATTCATTCACAAAGGAATCACTCCCTCCGTTAGAATGAGAAGGGAAAGCGGGTGAGGGGTTTGTTTCAGGACATGGATTAGATCAAATTTAACAGGGAGGGACGATAATACATTTCCATGCACATGTAACCCTGGCGGTTCTACACCACCCAACCCACTCCAAGCTGGGATCAAACCGGCGACGTCCCGCATGGAAGTCGGTTGCTCTACCAAGGAGGCTAAAGACCATAGCCTCTAGTGTCCATCGCTAGAGCACCTTTAGGGGTCAGAGGAGTGAGGTTTACCTGCACAGCACACAAACACACACTCTTTGTCAGGAATGCCCATGTGGTCACTTATCCATTGATGTGGAAAAGTAATGTAAAATTATAACTTTTGTCATTTATTAAAAGTATTTGCATACTGAACAGTGGGGAAACTCACGATCATCGATATATGTATATATTTATGGCTCCGGATGGCCAGTCCTCCACTGCACCTTGGTCCCACATTTATTTGAAAGGAGCGCTACTCTGTACTAAAATGGCGGCGCCATTGACACATTCCTTCTAATAGACAACAATAGCGTAGGCAACATCTGATGTAAATATCTATGCGCAAACTGCATATCCCCCTACAGAGCGCAGGTGCTTGTTTTATGAACAGTTGTTGCTAGAAGGGATACAGCTGCGGCCAGAAGTTAACAAAAGTTATTTATAATATTTATCGAATTACCCATTAATTGTATTTTATTAAAGTCTAAACCCAACCATAACAATAATGTAAAACAGTAGTTATACCAACTATTATTCATTTTAATTATTAAATTAGCCATTAAATTGTTTTTTATTAAAGTCTAAACCCATCCATAACTGTAGTGTAAAACAGAAATTATACCAAGAATTAGTCATATTATTTATTAAATTACCAATTAAATTGTATTTTATTAATGTCTACCACTACTCCAACTCTAAACCCAACCCTCACAATAATGTAAAATTATTAAATATTCTTGTAGAGTGTTGCAAAAATGATGCTATATTGATGTAATCAGCTGCAGCTGTGTCATATCTAGACTTTACCACAGTGGAATGAGCACATGACCGCACTCTGTTCGTGGGATACGCAGTTTGCCTTGCAGGAACACTAAGAAAGGCAACACAGGATTTGACACAACGGTATTTAGTAATACAAATATAACATTAAAAAAAATTGCTTTAGAGCACACTTTAACTTATATTTTCATAATTTTCTATACAAGAAAAAAAATGTTTTACTGGCAACAAAACAATCTGGGTAATGTTATTTAATCAATGTAAGCTAGGACTGTTTTTTTATTATTTATTTATATGCAAGAATGTTTTTGTCATGTGAAACACTGAACACTGCAACACTGTCAATCTTTGCAAATTTGTAATTTGTGAAAATACCACAATAATACCATATACCATGATAAAAGATTCAGCAATTGTCTCATGCAAATGTGCTGCAGTCAGTGGTGTTCAACTGTAATATTTCTGTTTTCCAGTAGAGGTCACTCCATCACTGCGATGCTTTTCTTTCTACCCAGTTAGAATCAGCTGTATGAGCAAAGTTTGAGTTTTGTCAAATCTGATGATGAGTATGAGATTATGAAAATTAAACTCACAAACTCTGGTTTGTTTTCTTAGCTACCTGCACTCAAACAACATTGCAATAATTCCTCAAGGTAATGGTGTTGTTTTACTAAATAAAGCAGTCTTCCGGTGTCAGATGCATTATTCATTGCATGTAACATGTTGTTGTTGTTATTGCAGCAATCGGTGAGCTGGTGAAGCTGCAGTCATTGGACCTGAGTGACAACGCTCTGCAAATCATCTGCCCAGAGATTGGTCAGCTGCGCTCATTACGACACCTAAGATTGGCCAACAATCAACTCAAATTCCTCCCGCAAGGTGAGTCATTTAGCACACATTTATTGACTTCAAATGTGAATGAGTGAGGTGCTGCTACAGTATTTGATGCTACTACATATAAGTGTGTATATATTATAGATTGGCATAGATTTATGTGTTTAATCTAGATTAATCTAGGAATTAATCTAGATTTTTCTAGATTAAAATGGCTCATTTGAATTCTGCCGAAGGCATTTAAAATATGTGTGCTACCCAAATAATAAGTCTTTGAGAACGGGTTTCTCAAGCCAGGTGGCGCATTAGACCAGAGGCTCATCTCCTGTTTCCAAAATGCATCACAAACTGCTTGAGAAACTGTTCTACTATGATAATTGGTGATGAAAATAAAGGATGTTCAATAAGATTTACTTGTGTTTACTAACTGTTTTTTTTAGTTAAACATGAATTTTGAACTGTAGGCCTACATAAACTCCAAACAGCGATTTTTTTTTTATTTATTTATTTTTTTTATTTTTTATTTTTGTAATATTATGTTGTGATACTGACCTTTACCAGTTAAATATCTATATTAAATTTTATTTGTTTTTATGTCATATTGAAATATGACTAAGAGAGACGTATTATGAAATAATAAATCATTTTCATGTATACACACAGCAATAAAATATTATATAATATGAAAAAAATGAAGAGATCATGTGAAAAACTTTTCTGATTTTTTTGTAGTTTTTATTGGTCAGATCAACAAATGTTTTTATTTTCATTTTTGTGACTGAAAATCAGGGTTTTATGTTTGGAAACCTGCCTAATGAGTTACTCTCAAACTATCTTAGCTTTTCCCCACATTTTAGCCATGTAGTTAAAAATTTGGGAATGAATTTGGACAGTAGTTTAATATTTGATAAACAGGTTAAATTAAGTGATCAAGCATTTTCCAGCTTCGCCTTCTTGTCAGAGTCAAGCCATTCCTGAGCCAGCGTGATCTAGAGAAAGCCATTCATGCTTTTATCAGCTCTTGTCTCAACGATTGCAATGCACTTTATGTTGGAATTAACCCAACTTTATCAGTTACAACTGGTGCAAAATGCTGCTGCTCGTGTGCTGACAAATAGTCGGAAACTTGAGCACGTCACATCTGTCCTTTACTCTCTTCACTGGCTCTCGGTTAAAGTTAGAATTGATTTTAAACTACTGTTGTTTGTTTTTAATGCAGTAATTGGTTTTGAACCTTCATATTTATGTGAGATTTTAAAGGCTTATAAACTGAACAGGGTCCTACGATCAGCAGATCAGTTGTTGCTGGAGGTCCCAAGGTATAAACAATGGCGTGATCGTTCGTTTTCAGTGGCAGGTCCAAAACTGTGGAACACCCTATCTTTAGAACTTTGCATCATCACAGATTTAAAGCTAAACTTAAAAACTATTTCTTTAGACTTGCTTTTGATATTCTGTCGAACAAAATGCTGTTTTATTGGCACTCGTGTTCTTACCATCTTATGTGTTTACATTTTCAGACTCAACTTTATTAACCAGTTTAGAGAAACTAAAATTGCAGCAAGGTGCCGTAACACAGGCGAAGTTCCATGTACACATTAATAAAATGCTACCCCACAACAAACAATACATCACATTGTAGGTCCATCTCCTGCCCCCTGAACTCATTTAATGACCCAATGGCCACCAAATAGAAACTCTAAAACGACGTTTTACAACAGGTGATCCAGGGTGCATAGGATACCCTGAGCTCTCTTTAAAACACCAGTATGGTAAATTACCGTTGGACCAGTTTGGGTAAAACCAATGATCTTGCCTGCCACCTTCACTAGGCTACTCAACCTGTTCTTGTTTAACACACTCAGATTACCGTACCAAGCTACAATGCAGAACGATAAAACAGATTCAATAAATAGTTTAAAAAACAGTGTCATCATAGAGGTACAAACCTGAAACCATCTAAGTTTCCTCTGAAGAAACGGTCTTTGTTGGACTTTTTTATTCACCTTATTCTTTGCGTATGAGCGGGCGCAGCCATTTGAATCTTTTTTGGCTCGAGACTTCCGGTCTCATTCACTTCCATTCATTTTTAGACGTTAAAAACTGCTTGTTTCGCTGTTTGATGTTGCAAGCTGATATTTCCTGATTATATTATTCTACTTGGTCTGTATAGTCATGCAAACACTTGTTTGTAGAGCAAGTAGTTTGACCATTTTCTGCTGTTTATTATTCCTAGTCATTTCTCCCATAGGCGACTGAATCGAAAGTTCTAAAACAATCGCGAAAACAGGCCCACTTCCGCATTTTAGAATAAGGTCAATAGACAGCCTGAGTGTTCGGTTGAAATGTCAACATATTATCAATAACGAACCTTAGATATTTATATGTGTCCACAATTTCAATGTACAAACCTTTATTATTTGTTATGATGGGGGTAGGAGAAGCCTTCCTGATCTATTACACCAGCAGGTAAATTCCTCCACAACAGGAATTTGTAACTTTGTTTTTAATACTCTAAAGCTCTTCGGGCAGCCTGCTGGTTGTAATAAGGTGCTATATAAGTAAAGTTTGATTGATTGATTATTCCACCATTTATTCATTTCTGAACTCTTCTGAAGTTTAAACATAAATATAAACATAAAACATGTTTTTTTTAATACAGAAAATTATAATAACTGATGAAAATAAATGTCAATACAGTGATGCAACATTGTGATCGACTGCTTTTTAAAATGAACTAGAACACAAAACACTTTTTCCTTGTGTAATTGAGCAGCTTTAACAGCGTTCAGTAATTTCTACGCTCACTCACCAGCCGAGTCTTTAGACTTCAGCACACACTGCAGCTATTAAACTTCATTTAATGAAGAGACTTTGATTTTTGTGCTCTACGTGACACTTAAATAGTTCTGAGGTGCTAAAACGTCATAAAGAGTCTGTGGGAAAGTGACTAAACTCTTTGACACTCTCTGTAAAACACTGTGTCTCAAAAAACAAAACGTGTTGCTCTTTTTATTGCTCTCTTACATTGCAGATGGGTAATGTTTCATCTGATGCCGAGACTGTTCATGGCTTTAATTGATCATATATGTATTGTTCCAAATTAAGTGTTTTACAATGAATTGTTTTGGCAATTTTAAGCATACTTCAGTAAGGGGCAGACATTGCACAAATCTGGGAAAACTGTCCCAGGATGCCCCGTATATTATGTCATGTAGTATTGAATGTTTTTTTGTCTCTCACATGAAAGCAGTGATGAAGTTGAGCTGCCGTAATTCCAGCTTTATTTCATATGTAGGAAATGTATATTTAAAAAAAACTATGATAGTTAGCATAAAAAATAGCATAATCCCACATTATAAAAACAATTAGTTCCTTAAATAAGTGAGTAAACCTGTTGAAACTTATAACTGTTAAGTTGACTTAACTTATTTTTTTATAATTCTGCACATAATTTATTCATTTATTTATGCTCTAATTCATTTTCTTTCGTCTTTTCCCTTATTTATCAGCAGAATGAACCGCCAATTATTCCAGCATATGTTTTATGCAGCGGATGCCCTTCTAGCCGCAACCCAGTATTGGGAAACACCCATAAACACTCATTCACACACACATACACACTCATTTACACTCATACACTACGGCAAATTTTGTTTAACCAATTCACCCATAGCGCATATCTTTGGACTGTGGGGGAAACTGAAGCACCCGGAGGAAACCCACGTGAACACTGGAAGAACATGCAAACTCCACACAGAAATGTGAGGCGTCAGTGCTAACCAATGAGCTGCAGTACCGACATGTACATAGTTCATTTACTTTATTTTCAGGTGACATATTTACTTCTTCAATTAATCACTTTAAAAGCAACGGGAGGGAAAAACTAGGTGATTTATGGTTCCTTTAAATATTTCTCAGTTATTAGCTCCTGTTTTTTTCCAGCAGAGGGCGTAACACATAGACTCCAAAATTTGAGCTGCTAAAAATATCTGCAGTAGTTAACAGTAGTCAAATTACAGCGTGTATAATGTTGAGTCAGGATTATAATTCACCAATACCGCAGGTCAAATTTATAGCATTTGCGAAAAAGACAGATTTTATTTTATTACGCTTTTTATGAAGACTATACAGTGTCATTTTACATTAACTTACTTGTAATACTGTTAGACTCCACAGAAAACCAAATGTTTTAATTTGCATATTTTCTCTGTTGTATTTATTTATGCTTGTAATTAGTTTTTTTTTTTCATTTATAAATATTTTATGCAGATGCACTCTCATCCCAATCAAAAATCATCCCAATTATTAGAAAATAAAAATAAACAGGGGGGCTAATAATTCAGGGAGGCTATGTATGTAGTCAAAATTAGTAGCCCTCCTATGAAAATTTTATTCTGTTACATATATTTTTAAAGTTGTTTTTAACATAGAGAAGTTTTTTTCCAAAACATTTCTAAGCATACTAGTTTTAATAATTCATTTCTAATAAATGCTCTTTGCCATGATAACAAAACAATATTTTACTGGTTATTTTGCAAGGTACTATGCTAATATGCAGCTTAAAGTCACATTTAAAGGCTTAACTTGTTTAATTAGGTTATTATTGACCTCAAAGGCTCCATGAACTAAAAAGCTTTTAATCGCTATTTGTTTTCGTATTGTGATGCAGTTCCTAGAGAAACAGAATTTTAAAAGAGCAAACTGGGCATGGCTTGTTTTTCTACCACGAGCTGATTGGATGTAGTAAAAGAGTAGAAGAGTTTTTACAGCCTAACAGACACCTCCTCCTCACCATTTCTGTTTGTTTTCAAAACTGACTAGTTTTGATTTCATAGCGACTTTAAAGTTGTTTTAAAAGATTATCAAAACTGCTTTTATTCCAACCAAACTAAAAATAAGACTTTCTCTAGAAGAAAAAAATTATAGGAAATACTACAAAATTGTCCTTGATCCACGAAACAGCATCACTTATGACTATATATATATATATATATATATATATAAAAGAATACATATTTCACATACAGTTGAAGTCAAAATTAATAGCCCTCCAGTGAGTTTTTTTTTCCTTTTCTTTTTAAAATATTACCCAAATGATGTTTAACAGGGCAAGGAAATTTTCACAGTATGTCTGATAATATTTTTTCCCCTGGAGAAACTCTTATTAGTTTTATTTCGGCTAGAATAAATATATATTTTTTAATTTTAAGTGAATATTATTAGCCCTATCTAGTAAAAATATTCTGTACCGTCATCCTGGCAAAGATAAAATAAATCGGTTATTAGAAATGAGTTATTAAAACTATTATGTTTAGAAATGTATTGAAACAATCTTCTTTTCGTTAAACAGAAATTGGGGGAAAATATACAGGGAGGCTAATAATTCAGGAGAGCTAGTAATTCTGGCTTCAACTGTAAATATCAGAAAATCAAAATGTAGTAATGTCAGCTTTATTTTCCAATATTGTGCAGTCCTACTCCATATGGTCATTATAATATGCTTTTACCACTTGCGAGTGAACCAGAGTTGTGCTCTTGTATTTGTAGAGCTGGGAGATCTGCGAGAGCTAGAGACTCTGGATGTGTCGATGAATCTCCTGAGGACTCTTCCTGAGCGTCTCCATCAGTGTGTGTCTCTGCAGTGTCTGACGGCGGACCGAAACCTGTTGCACTGCCTCCCTCGCCAGCTCTGCCTGCTGCCTGACCTCAACGAGCTCTCCATGGCCGCCAACTGCCTGACATCACTTCCTCTCGGTGAGCACATAACATACACTGCCTCTGAAATCGTATGCTACTCAAACAGGTGCGACATTTAAATTTAAATTGTTATTAGCCCTCCTGAGTTATTTCCCCCTTTATATTTGAACACATTTCTAAACACAACAGTTTTAATAAATAATTTCTAATAACTGATTTATTTTAGCTTTGTCATGATGACAGTACTTTCCCAGTGATGGGTTGCGGCTGGAAGGGCATCCGCTGCGTAAAAGCTTTGCTGGATATGTTGACGGTTCATTCTGCTGTGGCGACCCCTGATTAATAAAGGGACTAAGCCAAAAAGTAAATGAATGAATGAATGATGATAGTACATGTACACTTACCGGCCACTTTATCAGGCACACCTCTGAATTGGACCCACTTTTGCCTTCAGAACTGCCTTAGTCATTCATGACATAGATTCAACAAGGTACTGGAAATATTCCTCAAAGATTTTGGTCTGTATTGATATAATAGCATCAAGCAGTTGCTGCAGATTTGTTGGCTGCACATCCATGATGCGAATCTCTGTGGAGGCCATTTGAGTACAGTGAACTCATAGTCATGCTCAAATAACTAGTGTGAGATGATTCGCGCTTTATGACATCATAGCGAGTGATTATTTGAGTTACTGTTGCCTTTTTATCAGCTCAAACCAGTCTGGTCATTCCTCTCTGGCATAAACATTGCATTTGCGCACACAGAACTGGATATTTTCTCTTTTTCTCTCTAAACTCTAGAGATGGTTGTGCGTGAAAATTCCAGTAGATCAGCAGTTTCTGAAATACTTAGACCAGCCCGTCTTGCAGAAACAACCTTGCCACGTTCGAAGTCACCTAAATCACCTTTCTCCCCCATTCTGATGCTCGGTTTGAACTGCAGCAGATCGTCTTGACCATGTCTACATGTCTAAATGCATTAAGTTGCTGCCATGTGATTGGCTGATTAGAAATTTGCATTAAAGAGCAGTTGGACAGGTGTACCTAATAAAGTGGCGGTGAGTCTATTTTACTAGCTAATTTTCAAGATATTAGTATTAAGCTAAAAAGTGATATTTAAAAGCGTAACTTGGTTAATAAGGGTAATTAGGCAAGCCATTGTGTAATGATGGTTTGTTCTGTAGACAATCTAAATAAATATTTGTTAAGGGGGGTAATAATATAATCCTATTATACATTAAAAATAATCATGTTTTTGGTTTTAAGGGTCTCCAATAACAGTCTAATATGCATGCAAGGTCAAAAAAACACTTTCATGGTCTTATAATATGCATTTCTGTGCTGGTTGGACTGATGACAGTCTGTTGCGATTGGTCGACAGTGTTCAGCGTGAGACAGTGAAATCCCCACCATTTATTTTGTTACCAACACCACAGTACCTGGTCCTCAACAGTGATATTTAGACACCTCAACCCCGAACAGGTAGTGCTGTCGCCTCACAGCAAGAAGGTCGCTGGGTCACTGGTTCGATCCTCGGCTCAGTTGGCGTTTCTGTGTGGAGTTTGCATGTTCTCCCTGCGTTTGCGTGGATTTCCTCCGGGTGCTCCGGTTTCCCCCACAGTCCAAAGACATGCGGTACAGGTGAATTGGGTAGGCTAAATTGTCCGTGGTGTATGAAAGTGTGTGTGGATGTTTCCCAGAGATGGGTTGTGGCTGGAAGGGCATCCGCTGTGTAAAAAATGTGCTGGATAAGTTGGCGGTTCATTCCACTGTGGCGACCGCAGATTAATAAAGGGACTAAGCCGAAAAAAAAAATCAATGAATGAATGAATGCACGCACAACAATTGAGCGGGGCTTAAGTTTTGTATTGACATCACGCCAAAATGGCTAAAGACTCATCGTCAAGATGATTCATTTGAAGTACTTTGAGTCGACTCATTTATAGATGAATCAATAGTTTTAAACACTGTGCACTTTTAGATTTTAGCCTTAGCTGGATATTTCACTTCACTTAGAGCTGTGTTACACACTACATGAAAGGTCATTTTCAAAAACTCATAACTGGTTTTAAAAAATGTAAAACTGCTTTCATTGTAGCCTGACATCACTTTCCCTCGGTGAGCACATAACATAAGCTGCCTCTATATGCAGTTTTGGGGCTCAGCGATTGTGTTGTCAACATAGTAACCTTTACAATAATTTATGATATTAACAAAACCATTAATGCATTCACCATTAAACGTTTTAAAGTCAGTAGACGTTTTTTTTTTTTTTTTTAATGAATTAAATGTTTTAAAGCAGGGATCACCAAACTTGTTCCTGGAGGGCCGGTGTCCAGCAGATTTTAGCTCCAGCCCTAATCAAACACACCTGAACAAGCTAATCAAGCTCTTACTTGGTATACTTGAATCACCCAGGCAGGTGTGTTGAAGCAAGTTGGAGCTAAACCCTGCAGGGACATCGGCCCTCCAGGACCGAGATTGGTGACCCCTGTTTTAAAGGATGTAATACATAGAAAGTCATTTATATTGTTACAAAAGATTTATCTTTAAAATAAGTATTGTGCATATGTAATAATATTCATAAAAGTATCTAAATAAAACATGTCAAGCTTTCAGCAAAAATAGTATGCAGGACATCTGTTTTTTTATTGTTGATAATAATAAAAAGAAATGAAAAATCTGCATTTTGTAATGATCTCTGATGACTCGCTGGACACTGAAAATTGAAATAATGATGCTGAAATTCAGATTTGCAGCACATGCATCATGCAGTGCCTGCAGTTAAACTCACAGCGGTTTATCATGACACTTCATCGCCTTAAAATAATAAGGTTCTATTTGACATTTTTGTCAAAATTAAGTTATTGCCATATTCTTATATTAAATGACTTCTTATTTACATTATGGGATGTTTTTTTTTATAAGTTGTTTACATTGTTTAAGGCTTTTTATTTAAACAACAACTGTTGCTATAAAATGCTAAAACTTTAAAGCTCAATATCTCAAAATCATTCAGAACGCAGATAGAACCTTATAATTCCAATGTGACGACCTTTATCAATCATTTTTTTCCACAATTGACAGCAAGAACAAACAAACATACAAGCATTGTCTGATTAACAAGCACCTAAGTATGTTTAAAAGAATTTAAAACGCCAAATAGGATGAATTCATACCCTATTTCAAAAGTAAAACATACTCTAACATTAAGTGCAGTGTGTGGGTGAGAGGGGGAGCAGTGTTTCGATGAGACCTGGTTATGTTTTGGTTCTTTGACTGCTGGTGTTGGTTGCTGTATGGTTAAAAATTATGACAGTTGAAGTAAGTAGGTTAATTTTGATTTAAATCAATTTTAATTAAATTAAATATTGATCTAATATTTTGGGTGTTTTTTTGTGTGTTTTGGACAGCTTTTGGGGTTGAAAAATTCTGCTATATCTGGCAACGCTGCTTCAGTCCCTAAATATTACTTAAGTGCTGTGAAAAGAATGGGAACATTATAAAGTGGTAAATGCTTTACTGTTCCAACTTTTTTTTGTGTGTGTGTGTTGCAAGAACCGAAAATTTATTTAAAAAACAAAATAAAACAAAACAAACAATAAAAATCATGAGGAACACAATAAAAAAATGCTTGTTGTATTGTCTGCAATAAAATACAAGTCAAAGTTAATTAAGAAATCGCTACATTTTTATTTGCGTTTTCCAAACAGTTCAAAAAGGTCATGATTCACACTCATCAAACAATTGCTTCGTATTATTTTTATTTTTACATTCTCAGGTGATACAAAAACAGAAACGTTTCGGCACAGTGCCACACACTGAGGAAGGCATTGTGCCGAAACGTTTATATTTTTATCACCCGAAGAATGTAAAAATAAAAACAGTGCGAAGCAATTATTTGATGAGTGCGAATCGTGACCTTTTTGAACAGTAGTTTTGACAAGATTAACGCACCAAAGAAGTTTCTTTAACAACCGCGAGCGCGAAGGGCAAACATAATTACGCACGTTTTCCATACTGTCCCAATTTTTCCTGACATATCATACCACATGCACTGTATAAATCATTCCATACATGCGTACATATATACATACACATATAGATTAAAATGTTTCCTTGACCACAACCAAAAAACAACACAAATAAAAGGTTGCCAAGTTATGAACTGTAAATGTTCAAATCTGAATAATTATTTAGTGGTTGAGGACACAGCCAGCCATTGACTCATTAATTTGCGTTTAATAAAAAGCAGGTATTTTTAATTTGGTAATAATAGTTGCCATATGTTTCATTAAACAAATGCAGTCCTTGTTAAACATAAGAGACAGCGAGCCTTACTTACAAGTATAATAATCAGCCCATTTTCCAAGTGATTTCTTTTTGGCTTTATTATTCAAGGGTTGCCACAGCGGAATGAACCACCAACTTATCCAGTATATGTTTTATGCAGCGGATGCCCTTCCAGCTGCAACCCAGCACTCGAAAACACCCATACAGTCTTGCATTCATTCACATAGTCTACAGACAATTAAGTTTATTCAAGTCACCTATCCTGCATATCTTTGGACTGTGGGGGAAACTGGAGCATCCGGAGGAAACCCATGCCAACACGGGGAAACATGCAAACTCCACACAGAAATGGCAGCCGGCACAGCCGAGACTTGAACCGGTGGCCTTCTTGCTTTGAGACACCAGTGCTACTCATTGAGCCACCATGTTGCCTCATTTTGCAAGTACGCCTTCCCCAAAATGTATTCAAGAGGAAGGTTTGCTGTTCGCCATACACAGCTGTTGTTTTGACCTCAGAGGACTTGCAATATGTTACACGAGTCCCAGGTGAATTGTTTGGCCTTGTTGCTGATATACTGTAGTGTACAGTACTGATGCTTTATATTTCCGTCAGATCTGGGACGCTCCATGGAGCTGCAGTTTGTGTTCGTAGACAACAATGCTCATCTAAAGGGTCTTCCGTCGTATCTTTATAACAAAGTCATCGGCTGCAGTGGGTGAGTGCTACAAACTTAAAGTACACATGAAATCCAAACTAACCAAATGATTTTGTCCGCTCACGTTGCCAGTTTTGTGGTGAACAATTCCTGTCATAGAGAAAAAAGAAATGGTTTGCCCTTGTAATGTTTAATTGAAATCTGAAAATGCACTTCCTGTTTTTATTTTAGTTAAATTATCAGATTACCTATGTTTTAGGAATTGGCCATGGTTAATATATTTAAAGGGCACCTATGGTGAAAAATCTACTTTTCAAGCTGTTTGGACAGACATGTGTGTATATATAGTGTATAGACCGTCATATTGGGGTGAAATAAACACACCCAGTCCTTTTTTTCAATTTAACAACATTAAAATGGTGGACCATTTGGAGCGGTTTTCAGACCAACCGCAACTTGACGTAGGAGTGCGGTCCACCCGCCCACCAAATTGATTGACAGCTTCGCGTAGCATGTCCCGGTAGTCACGTGTATGATCATGTCAACAAGACCAGACGTGCGCAAAGCAACCGGGAAAAATAGGTCTGTTCAGTTCGCTAGGATTATCAATCATCATCAGATGTAATCAAGAGTGAGTTTCACATGTTTAAAATGTTTTAAATCAGTGCACATGTGTAATTCATTACAGCGATTTACTTTAGCTTTACCTCATCACCACAGCCGCATGTAAGATCAATTATGAAAGAAGACGCTTCAATCCCGGTTTTTGGACGTTAAATCAGGTTTATTTCATACATTATTTATATATATATGGTATATATATATATATATATATATATATATATATATATATATATATATATATATGGTATATATATATATAATTTTTTTTCCATAAATTTATTTTCAACTTTACAGTCAGAAATAAATAGATGATCATACGATAATAAACTGACTTGCAAAAAAACTAAAGCTCACAAAGAACGCAGAAAAACCCCAGTCTTTGGACAAACTAGTGGAAAATGTGTGAGTCTTTGGTCAGACTTTCCATCCATCTGAAAGTAAACAACACTGATTTTCTTCACACATGTAACTCTGCAAGAAGAGTTTGCTTCTCAGACAAACAACAGAACTCTTGAATATCCTTTAAAGATTTGCTTTGGTGATCTTCCAACCTTTCCTTCAACTATAAACTTGGCTTGTCCTCTTTTAACACATTCTGCTGCTTTTGCTGTCTGTTTTCCCCAAAGGAGATTCACAGATCTTCCAGTCAAGCACTGACTGACACAAGAATTAGTAACAGAGACTGAATGGGACACTGCAAAAATGCTTTTAGTGATTTAACGATTCGTCTTTTTGTCTTGTTTCTAGTCCAAGTATCAAAATCTTTTTACATCAAGAATCACTTTCTAGACAAGCAAAAATACTAGCCCCTTTCACACAGTGATACCAGTTATTATTCAGAAAATTACTGGAATGACTTTACCGGTAAATGTACACAAGTGCTGTTCACACAGGCAAGGACATTCTGGAATTTTTCCGGAGAAGACCGTTTACACATCCATTCCAAAAATACCAGAAATGAGCTCAAAACGACTGCACTTGTATTTGCAAACATAGAAGTGGTCTGGCTTTTGTTGATGGTTTCACTTTTATTTAAAGCTTTAGCATTGATGCAGCTGCTTTGTCCCAGAAGCATCCAAAGGCAGAAGCGCGAACCGCAGCTAAATGTTTACACATTTTACATTCTAAATTCTGTGGATGGATAAGTATTTTGAACAACTTCAATGAAAAGAAATAAAGGAACACTTTCACCTCAAAGTGTTCATGTTCATGTCAAGACGTACAAAATATGTGTGTGTGCTGCCGCTCACCGGCTGCTTCCGTGCACACGCATCAAGCAACTGAAGCAGAGCTTGAAGGTAAACAAACAGCAGTTTATCATAAACATTTTACCGGTAATTTTTTACACAGTTGGCATTAAGAAAGAACATAGAAACGTTATCCGACTAATATCTAGCAGCTAAATGTGTCTGGAGAAATATTCAAAGGCTTTTATCTTTATAAACGGAGCGGATGTGAATGCATCTGATTGACTGGAGTAGACTGCTCACATCAGAGTGTTCTAAACAGGAATGCTTTTTCTTTTTAGGTTTACACAGAGTAGCATTCCAGCAAATTACTGTTAATGTTACAACTTCTCTTTGCAGAAAATTGCCGGAACTAATTTGCTGATATTTTTAGAAAGGGCCTTTTCACACATGATTCCTTTCCTGGCTTCTATAGGTGAAAGGGGCTATTGTGTTGTTTTAAGTAATAATATGGCAAAGTTTTTCCTTAAAACAAGCAAATAATTAAATCGAAGTTTATGCCTAAAGCACTTTTTTCAATAATTATTGTTTCATAGCTTTACAAAAGGTTCACATTATTACATTAAAATCAACTTAGGTTTTTTAAGTTACAATTAAATATAAGTTCTTGATGACTTCCGGTTATGGCGAGGTGCTGAGAGGTCGAAATTTTTTAGCTCTGCTGCTAACTTGCGATCAATCCTACAATACCAACCAGAATTATATCTTAAGTCAAGCAACACAAATATAAAAGCATAAGGAAGAAAAATGTCACGCAAAGGTACCAGAAAAGACAAGAAAAAGACCAGAAACGAAGATGAATATTCTGAGGGTGAAGAAACTAACGACGCCATGGCAGCTGGTGAGGGCCCTGACGAAGATGATGACGAAGCAATAACTTCGGATGGTAACAACGAAGATATCATGAAAGCTATAATGTCCTTGAAAAGTGGACTTTACAAAAAAATTGATGGAGTCCAAGCAACAATTACGACGATAAGTAAGGAGATAAAGGAATGCACAGGGCGGATAGCACAAGCGGAGCAACGCATTTCGGATGCCGAAGATAATGTCAACGGGCTGTTATCCAGAGTGAGCACGCTAGAAAATACTGTCAAAACGCTTTCAAACAAAGTGGAAGATTTGGAATGCAGAAGTCGACGGAACAACATAAGACTTGTGGGACTACCGGAGAAAGCGGAGGGCCAGGATACGGTAACGTTTTTGGAGAAGTGGATACCGGAGGCTCTAGAATTGGATTCGCGGGAATCTCTTGTAATTGAGCGGGCTCACAGAATCGGCACTTTGACAAATATCCACTCGCGAACGACACGCCCGAGGACACTAATTATGAAGTTCCTGAACTTCAGAGACAAGGAGCGAGTGCTAAGGGCAGCCAGAGTTAAAGGGAATGTTCTCTACAAAAACGAACAAGTCCGTTTTCACCCAGACCTGTCTGCCGGCATACATAAGATGCAGCGCGACTATGATGACGTGCGAAAAAGGTTGCGAGATAAGGGAATTCAAAAGCACAGAATTATTTTTCCAGCACGGCTCCTACTGACACACGGAGAAAGATCCTACACCTTCCAAACTCCGGCTGAAGTAGACAACTTTATCCAGTCTCTTTGAAGGATCAAGACAATCCTACCAATATACGAAACTAAAACGTGACAACACTACTGACCAATTCGTTTTATGTCTTTTTTTTCCAACGAGAGAGCGCTAATATTCTTTTTGCGTTCTCTATTGGCTCACGTTAGTCATATACTTTTTTTTCTGACCACATATGTTTATTCTCGTGATAAAAACTCTTAAAATGTACCTGGGGTGGGAAAGGAAAACATGGACATAACGCACACTCAAATATTGGACCTTTTGACATTCGCAAGGGACGTTCATCCCACAACGAACTTTTCACGGCCAATAGCAGTACTGTTTGATTTGTTCTTTTATTTATATCTACCTTTTTTGCTAATCCTTATTCAACTCAACCCCCCAGGTATGTCATTATTTGTTAAAAGTTGCAAAATATCAAAATTTTAATGGTTATGTTTACTAATGTTGCTCAGTTCAAAACAACTAAGTAAATAATGTTGGCAAAGTAGTTAGTACTTGATAATAGCAGAGGGAGCTAAAGAGAAAGAAATAATCAAAAGTGAGAGACAGACGGCTCTTTGTATTGCCTAGACCCGTATCTGTCATAAGCGGTTGGTATAAGGTGTGTATTTTTTTCTTTCCCTTTTTTTTTCTTTTATTTATTTATTTATTTTATTATTTTCTTTCTTTCCTTTTTTTCTTGTTGAGTGTGGGTATGTTTTCATCAAACAAGCAAATCTGTAAGGTTATATTAGACAACTGATGTCTGGTAGCTTAAAGGTGAAATTTACTTCATGGAACTGTAGGGGTTTAAACAAAACTTCAAAAGTTAAACAAGTGATGAACAGGATAAAATTCTTGCAATCAAAAATAATTTTCTTGCAAGAAACCCATCTAGTAAGTGAGGATGTTTCTAAAATAAGAAGAAGATGGCAGGGTCAGGTGCTATCTGCCCCATATACCACCCATGCTAGAGGTGTTATAATACTAATTCATAAATCTGTTCCTTTTCAAATTAAAAATATAATTAAGGATTCTGCAGGTAGATACATCATAGTCCAGGGTATGCTGTTATTTGAAAATATAAATCTGATAAATGTTTATGGACCCAACGAAGATGACCCTAAATTCTATAACAATTTGTTTCTGACTATCTCCAATCTCCCGGGGCAAAATATAATTGCTGGTGATTTTAATTGCACGTTAGATCCAGCAAGAGATAGGTCATCAGGTTCAGATAATACCCACATTAGATCGAGAAAAACAATAAATAGTTTTATTAAAGAATTAAATTTGGTGGACATATGGAGACATAGTAAACCAAATGCAACAGAATACTCATGTTATTCCAGCACTTATAAAACTTATTCACGCATAGACTGTTTTTTGGTTTCAGCACAACTGGTTTCAAAAATTGATGACTGTAATTATGGTAGTATAGTAATATCGGACCATGCAGCTATGTCACTCACTTATAAAGATGCTAAACTAGTGAAGGATTCTCCAAGATGGCGCTTTCAACCAGGATGGCTAACAGACCCCACATTTATAGATTTTTTAGATAAACAAATTGACCTGTATTTTACATGTAATACTTCTCAAACATCTGCT